GCATATGCGTAACTGTCTTTAATATCAATTCATGAACGGGCAAGTGGGAACTCAAACTACATATATATATACTCGCGTATCTTGTGACATTTGAAGACCTAATTCTGAAGCAAATTTAAGGAGGTCGCATCATACACGTGAGATTTAACAAGCATATGCACTGCTGTCCCTGACCAAATTACATAATAGCGATTTACTGTAGTCAAATTAGCTTCAAAATTAGGTCTTCAGTGGTCGAATGATGTGCATATATATATATATATATATATATATATATATATATATATATATATATATATATATATATATATATATATCTTATGTTCTGTTTATAATAAACAGTACCAACAACATTTACCGACCTGAATGTTCTAAAAATTTCATAGACACACTTTATATATATATATATATATATATATATATATATATATATATATATATATATAAAGGCTTAAACACTAATATTCCATGATCATAATTTATTCCATTGGAATCGTGAATACGATCCAATTCATCATACCTACAAATTCAAAAGGAAAACAGAAAAAACAACTCCGGGAATAAAAAATAAAATTTAGTGAGTGTGTATGTATGAGAGTGTGGGACGAATGTTAGAGTAAATGAAAGCTATAGAGAGGGGTAACAGACGAGGGAAGAATAGAAGAACAGGAAAGTCTAAAGATGAACTGGGGGATTAAAATTTAACAGAGAGAAGTTTTAAAGAGGTGAGTCAAAGACGGTTTAAGTGAGAGAAATATGAATGTTGTCGGAAGTCTAATACATTAAAGATGTGACCGGAAAGGATACATTTTGTGGTGACATACACATACAATTGACGATATAATCTTAAAGATCAGAAGATGAGAGAGGGAGAGGAAAAGAAAAGAAAAAGGGGTGGGGGAGAGAGATGGGTCAGGGGGAACTAAAACCGAAGGGCATTTATAAAATGGCCGCTGTGTAATCAAGAAAATTTGACAAAATTAATATCGACTACAGGTTACAAATCAGATATAAACATATAAAAAATAAATATAACAATTATCTAATCTAGCAAGGACCTATATTTATGTTCAAAAACACATGCGTATACACACATACACACCAACATATTTATATTTACACGTACATACATACATATAGGCGAGTAGACACATACACATACATATATCCTTAAAATTCAAATTCAAACTCAGCGTTGCGACTGCACGCTCCAAAACAATAACACATTTCTAATAGCATTTTTCGGATTACAATACATCTATTTTCGTTGTCCTCTTATTACTGAGAGTAAAAACAAGAACAAAATCTATTCCATACCTGAGGATGTCTGTAGGAACAGACGAAAGCTTGTAAAAATAATAAGAACTTATCCAACTGAAATTTATAAAACAAGGATCTTTTCATGTATAAACAGGTTCAGGGGTTTTTGTATATTATTTGAATTGTTCGCGACGATGGATTTCTCATAATTAAATCATTAACCTTTGTATTTGTTTTCTGTAAGAATAATTCATATATATATATATATATATATATATATATATATATATATATATATATATATATATATATATATATATATACATACACATACATATACACATACATCTATACATATCCACTATCCTATATATATATATATATATATATATATATATATACAATTACACACAGATATACATACGGACATGCACATACGTGCACTAGTAAGGAAACTAAAGCGGTTGTTTCAATTAATTTGCACAAGGGCGTATAACGATATTTTCAAAGAATGGGCTACTTAAAACAATTTTTGATTTTATTTTGTTTACTTTATTAACTTCTGAAGATGTCTCCTGTGTGTTGAAAGCTCGGATACATTATGAATATTTTGGGGTCACTGCAGCAGCCATGTTTGCGATTGGCAGTTTGAGAGAAAATATCATGTCTGTCGTTTTTAATAAAATTTATTTAAAATTCATATTGTGTCGTTTAAGCTTTCAACTTACATAAATATTTGTCGGGGCGTAAACGAGTAAATAAAATGAAATAGAGTTTATTTTAAGAAGTTTACTGCTTTTTTTAAAGTTTTGTTTTTTATTTATTTAGTTAAAGTTAAATTCAAAACGTAGCATGTCATGTGTCTGCAACACGCAATCAGTTTTTATCGTTCATCCATTCATTTATTTAGTTATTCGGTTATTTAGACATTTTTTATATACATTCAAAATACCACATCTCAGACTATAATTATTTTTATGGATATTTCCTATGGTTGAATGCAATTGATTCCAAGAACAATTGCAGCCAAGATATATATATATATATATATATATATATATATATATATATATATATATATATATATATACTTTATTTTAGGATATTACATCAAAACATAAAAAAAAAGCTACAAAAAGATAATCATGTTTCGATGCGTATTAACGCATCTCATCCGGCGTTAGTAAATAACTGGTGAGCAGGCAATTTATAGAGATTGAAAAACAAGAGTAAGAAAGAAACCAGAAGATGAACCCTATTTTCGTGAGAAAAGGAAGAAAAAGAAAAAGTGTGAGGAAGGAAAAGTGGAAATAGTTGCAGGGTTTGTTTTGTTTTTACATAGATCAACCAATCGAAATGACCCACGCTATGTTCAAACTAAGCGGAAAAAATGGACTCCATTCGTTCTCATTTTACATATATATATATATATATATATATATATATATATATATGTTTATTTATTGTGAACATTACCTTTTTCTGAGTGCCATTCTCTTTATGAAACTAGTTTCGCTGTTCTTCCTCTTCTCTTGCTTGAAACGTAAATTGTTTATTCAGCAGCCGTTCCTTTATTCATGTCTGCACATTCCCCAGTA